GAAGCCGAGGTCAATGCCCACCACGGACATGGCTGCGCCCGGGGCTTCGCTTCTCGCCGGCCTGTGACTACAGCGGCGGTGACCGTCCGGCGCTGCTGGGACCCGGCTGCACGCCCGGCTCTCCCCCACTGCGGAGCACCGGCCACCAACCGGCAGGTCCCCTCCTCCGCGCAGGCGCGCTGGGCCGGACGGCGGGGAAGCCGCCAGGCGCCGGCGGCAGCTTCGGCACTTTCCGGAAGGGCTCGGGCGGCGCCGGCCGCCGGCGGGGCGCGTTCGAGAAAGATCTCGAAAGGGGGGGAGAAAGGGAGCGTTACCGAGCGCCCAGACGTCAGAGCGGCGTCGGGACACGCCCCCCCGACCCCCTTAAAGGAGCCGGCGGGAAGAAGCGGCTGCGATTACTGCCACCTGCCCTCGCCCGCCATCTTGGGAGAGAAGTTGGCTGCCACACAGTGTAATTTAACGAGATTACAACAATCTCGTTGCCATTACTGCCGGGCGACGATGAGGCCGGTTGAACTTGCGCCAACGTATTCCCAGAAGAGGCCTCATCTGTGTCATTTTTCTTTCCTAAAAGATGTCTCAAAACCTTAGTACTGCGGTTACCTTTTTTTTTTTTTTTTTTTTTTTTTTGGTGGGTGTCATTTTAAGTATGGAGGACCAAAACTCTACAAAACGTACCTACAAGGCTGGGAAAGCTCGGCAAGTATTTATTTGCTTCTAAAAATGACATCTCAGTTTCACACAACGATATAGCATCTTCCTGACATGGCAAGTGACGCTGCGCAATTTTGTTCCACTGGAGAGACTGAAAATAAGCGCAAACCCAACAAACCAGATTTGCGTCCCTGTCAAGAGTTTTGATGATCTACTTTGTTACTGTTTCAGTGGTCTACTTCACAACTAGAAGTTTCCTGGTGAAGGTGACATGGTATTTCCCTCTAAAACATCTAGAAGCAAGAGACGCCACTGTTAAATAAGAGTTGCTTGTAACACAACTACTATTTATTAACACAAGCAATTAACCACCTCCTTTTCCTTACTAGTACTAGGATCAGAAAGGCAAACCGGGTCCAGTCCCATCTGTGCTAGCCAGGGAGACAAATCCCAACCCGGGTTTCTCTGCTGTTTCAGAGCTCCCTGTTACAGAACCAGTTCCCAGTGATTCAAGGTATTGCAGCATCCCACTTACGCATCCCCACCTGAGGCTAACTCCTGACTGAAAAGAAACCTTGGGCCAAGAGATTATATGCAAATACTCCCGTGTAGCTCTGCAGCATCACTAAACCAGGGCCAGGAGAAATTGTGAAACCTTGCAGCAGGGGGACAAGCCATCACTGCAGAACCACCTGCAGATCTCGCATCTCAGGGAGCTGCTGCAGCAGCGTTGTTTCTGCCAGCCCAGCCATCCGGTTTCAAGCTGCAGTCAGGAACGTGGACGTGTGTGTACGTTCATGACAGCAACAAGGAAGTGCCAATGGACTTTTTATTTGCTTTGTCATGAGTAAGATGAGTTGGAGAAGAGATCGTAAGCAGGGTAAGCCAGACGCTTGAGGTATTTCATAAGTTTTCTTTGCATGCTTCAGTGTTCTACTGATTGCCCAGTCGGCAAGTATAAAAAAAATTCAGTCAAGTCAGATCAGCCAAGGTTGCCTGACCATATCCCCCCACCATCATCTGCTGCTACGGTAGCAGTCTTGGAATTGGTCTTGTCTGAGTCCCTCCAGCTTTCGCCCGTGGATTGCATCTGATTTTTTTTTAGCAGCTAAACAAATATTTGTATTAACTCAAGGTGCTAAAGCTTTTGTGTGAAACTTAATGGTTGTGGAGAAATGTTGGGAGCGCTGTTAGCCTTAACTTCTTTGAAACCAAACATTTAAACAAAGGCCTCTTAAATGCTTTCTTGGGTCCCTAAATTATCAATAGGTTTGTTTTTTACTTTCCCTACTGAAAATTTTAACCTCAGAAATAAAAATAGGAGTTTTGTCATTTATGCATGCTCTAATATCCTCAATACTGAGAAGAATCCTCATCCATTTTAATGTTTCTCAAGAAATAATGTATTAAGTGTTTTAAGTCTCTAAGTGCTTGGGTCTCTACCTTTTTGGGTTATGTTTTGGCTTAAAATGCTTCCAGCCAGACTACACTCTTCTCAATGGTGTTTGAGGGATGGGACAGAGAGAAAAGCGAGTTGCTGTATTAATGCCAATTTAAAAAAAAAAAAAAAACAAAAAACAAACAAAACCCAACATAAACTCCTTTGGTGTCATGACTTGTGCTTTAAAGTACCATGAAAACACATCAACAGGCTAGAAACAGGTTTTCTTTTTACTGTGGTTCATGTAAAAGCTGTAGCAGGCAGATACGTTCATGTAGTTACAGTGGGCTCCTCTGATAAGCTAGGGAAACTGCTGTTACCAAAATATATTCAGGTACATGCTGTAATTTAAAATACAAGGTGTAACATTTAGTATGAATAAAACGTTTAAAATTCCAAGAGGCAAGTGTTTTCTTGGATTAATTTCTTAAATAAAATGAAAACAGTGCTCTAGTTCCCTAAAAACATTACTTAATTTAGCACATGCTTAGTCACAAACCCCACCAAATGCTTTCTTAAAAGTATTGTTTGTATAACACTTAAACTAAAAATATGCTATGCAAACAATGAGATTTCGATCATGAACACTGTATAAACAGAACAGATGTTCACCCACTATTTTAATCAGATCCTGAACTCTCTGAAACATGGAGGTTAAAAATGTCCTTAATTTTGTCGTAAAGAACTAGCATTAAGGCTCCTCTGTTCCACAAAAGATGTTGGAGAACGTTCCACAGAAAAAAGCATTAAGCTCCTCTCGTGCATATATTTTCATAAAGCAGTCAACAACAGTTCCTCTATGTTGACATTCAGTCTCACTGCTCTGCACAGAAATAATAAGGACAAATCATTACTGCACTGAACTGAGAAAGAAGCTTAGGTGCCCAGCAAAATCTGTTTATTTAGTAAAGAACACTAAGGAACTTTTTCTAATGTTTCACTTACTGCAAAGGAGTGATCTGTTAACAAATAAATAGTTATCTGATGTAATACTCTGGTAGGTGGTTCCAGTAGCTATATTTAGAAAGGCTGGGATCCTTCTTCTGATGCTTCCTTTAAGTTTTACTGGGCAAGTAGAAGGCTTAGGAATTAAATGAGGTCACTCCAGTCCTAAGGGTGCTCTGAATTGTTTCAATGCTGTTAGAACTTCCACTGCTCATCTTTTTTCCCTCTTTAGTCCCACTGAAATATTTGTATACCAAGTAGATTTCAGTTCATTAGTAATCAATAGAATCATCTAAAAAATCTTAAGATGTTGACTAGCACGATCATGTAAAAACATAGGAAGGCTAAGAAGGAGCACAGTCCCGTTTTCATCTCGCCCACTTTGTTTCTGGGCATTAATTTGCTCAATGAATGACAAGAAAGCAAAAAGGAGGATTTGTTAAAGACCTCAGCACCATGTTCACTAAAACTTGCTTCAGGTGCTTACGGGTGAAGGAAAAAAAGCAGTGAATGTTAACATGCGCGCATGTGACCATTTCTGTAGAAGTCAGAGCCATGGCACTGAGCCCTCCCTTTTTCCAAGTGCAGCATGACTGCAAATCATGCCATTTCCTTCACTTTTTGAAAATTTCAACAGCAGAGTAGAGGCAGCCCAGAGGAACGTTGTGGAGCTGTTTCTCTGTACAGCAGAGCACGTGGGAAATACTCCTGCCAGCTGTGGAACTCAGCATTGTGACCACAGCAGATCTCTGCGATAGGCTGAGTAACACCAGAGTTCTGACAAAGTGGGTTTTTGTAGATGCGCTTGGTGAACTGTCAGACAATTCCTGGTTTGGAACTGCAGTCTCTTCAGGATTTGAGGACTGTATTAGGAACTCCCCTATCTTTATGTGAAATCCTACTGGAAAGAAGACGCTAGTTTTTTTTACTTAATGTTGATGATTTGACTTAAATTAGCTACATCTTAAGTCAAATCAAGATAAGGTTCTAGACTCTCTATAATGGCAGAAAGATAATCTTGCCTACTTCTAGGCCTTTGTGACATACGCTGCAGCTAATAAAGGGGTTTGAATTTTCTGATAAAGACAGTATTACCTTTTGTTACATCTTCTGTTAGCAATCAGGGTATGAGATCACTATAGATTTCCTGAACATAATAAATGCAGGAAATACATATGTGATAAATATTCACATGAATCAATATAAATAAGCCTAGTAGCATAGCTAAAAAGCATTTAAAATATTTTGGTTTGAATCGACATGAATATATGCAAATGAAAGGATGTTTGGTAATGGTTACTACTGCTTAGCTGACAGAAATCAACTTTACTGAAAGCAGTAACTGTACTGTGTGCACTATTTCAGAATGTTATCCCATCTGGCAAATACACTTTTAACTCAGAAAAAATAAAAGGTGATATATTTAATTCAGGGCTTCCTCTTGAATCAGGATAAGCATCATGATAAGGGGAAATTGCTAAATATCGTAGTGATCAGCTTTATTTGTACCTGAAGCTTCAAAAGTATATGAATGAAAGGAGAAGACCACATGAAATACATTTATACATCCACAACATATATATGCCCTCTCATTTTAATCTTTTGTGCTAGTAAATGCATTATCTTATTTCATATGTTTGTAATTTATGCTTTTGATAATCTTGATACTATTCTCTATCTTAGAGGTAAGTTAATTACCAGAAATACAGGCAGTTCTTTGGTAAGAAGCGCAGTACTTTGGAATAAAGACAGCAGTAACTCTCGGCCTACTGCTGATTAAGCAGCTAAAGCATAATCTGGAGACAGTAAAATCATATTTAGTCTGAAAAGGTCAGCAGTGTTAGTGGTGTTTGCCCACTGCAAGTGTCAAGGTTTCTGTTATGTAGGCTAGGTTACCAGAGGTATGCAGGCATTATGTAAGAATCTAAGAATCTCCTGAGATTTTCTGAAAGCACTGAAGCAAGTCCTATGCTAACATTTATTCTGATTTTCTTTTGACCTTCTGCAATACCAAGAGAAAAGAAGATACTCCTGAAACAAAATATAGAGATGTTTCTTCGGAACTAACAACTCCGTTCCATTATCAGATGGCAAAACTTAGTCAGGGCTGCAGGGAACAAGGTCCTGATTTTTAAAGAGCGTTTTGTTTTGATTTCGTGTTGAGGATGATATTCATAGCAAGAATTTATATTATTAAATGTACTTCAAATTCTACTGAACTACCTAGTAAAATTACCTAATAACTAACAAGATCCAACATGAATTGCTAATAATACACTATCATACCCGTCACATGCTGAGAAATATTTAAGATTCTTCTAAGAGTACTGATTCTGCCTCACACCTGAAGAACATCTGTGTCACAAAGATTATTTTTCTAACTGCATTAGCTGGGCTAATAAAGGATATTATTCTACCCATAAACCTGTCTTACTCCAAATATCTGGCTTCTGAGTAGGAAGAAGAAAACAGATCCTGCCTTTCTACCAAAAGCTCTCACCAAACCATGAACTGAACATACTTTTACCAGATTCCCACAATACTACTTTTTAATTTTTCTTGTCTTTCTGGAGATGTTTCCACTTCTTTTCTGAATAGTCTTGCCTGCTTTCAGGGTAAACAGCACTTCAATTAGCACATCAATCTTCAAAAATCTAGTAAGTAATTTTCAGAAGAGGATTGCAAGCTTGACTGTACCTGCAACATCATGTGTCTCCTGACAGTGTCAAAAGAATAAGACAGCATTCCTGAGCAAGCAGTCACAACTTGAGCAATGGAAAAGGAAAGAATGAGTGGAGCTTGTTTGGGATTTGGCAATAATCCCTGCAAATTAAAACAAAAATGGAAGCCTGTACAAATTCTCTAAAATGTGTTTCAAATCTAGCAGATATCAAGTATAGTTTTGATAATTTCTGTTGTTAATCTTACTGCAAAATGACTCGTCTCTTCAGTAATACAGCCTATTGAACGCAAATGATGGCAACTAACCCTCATTACGTTCATAATAAATATTTAAAATATCATGATAAAGATATAAAGCATGTGCATTTTTGTTTGTAAAAGCTACCTTAATGGTGTCATAACATCCAAACTAGGAGCTTCAGACTACAATGATTCTCTTCACTGAAACACCCAAACCCTGGTACAAGCCACGAAGTCCACCTGTCTTTGCTATTTTAATAATAGTCACCAAGTCCCTGGAATTGTTGCTCAGCAGCACCTAATATAAAAAATATACATGCACATTGTTATGATTTACAAAAGCCCTTCTCTTTAGTACAAGCTACTCAGCATGACAGACATTTAACATAAAAATGATATGAAAAACATAGTAGATCATTGTTTCCTCCACTTATGAACGAAACATAAAGAAGAAATCGAGACATGGATGGACGAAGACAGTTTATTCACACAGTGGTATCCAGTTGCTGCAACACTATCCAGTCAAATAACTACCATTCCAGTTTTGTCCTGAATCAGCAGAATGCTTATGTATGAATTCTCTTTCTCTCTCTCTGAAAATAATTTTTTTCTACATAATACCATGCTTTCACTTCCTCCCCACACATTCTTTCTCAAATTTGTTAGAATTGTTACTCGTTTCAGCTTTTCCATGTAGTGGAAACACTAGACACAGGCTCCGACAAGGTTAAAAAAATCCACTTTTTATATCTGTAGATTCTTCATCTGTTTCCACATTCCACAGGTAACTACACCCAAGCTCTTACGATTCTCTACAGGTGAAAATACAGAAAGCAATAAACTGATCTTTGAAGGAAGAAATTCAGATACTGAAGGTATCATGAAAATAGTAATTCAGCCCAAGTACAGGGCACAGAAAGGAATAGGTGGAGCCAAGCAGCGAGTTCCTGGGATGACTCTGCACAGCAGAGACAGCAGTTAGGGCTAACTAGGCCCATTGCAGGCAAATCAGGAAAGTCAACAACAATATAGAAAGCAGAGATTTCTTTCTCTCTGCTGCAAAGCCTTCCAGACACTTTTTTCAGATTAATTTTATCTGTTTCAATTAATGAAACAGACATCTAGAGACAAATATTACCCAAAATCTTTGTGAAAATCTAGAGTTGATATTCTTGAGATAGAAGAGGATGGTTATTAGCTCTTTAAATGACACTCCATAAAACCATAGGTTAGCAAAAATTAAATTCCTCTAGTTTCTGGTATCCAAAGTTGGCAAAATTCAGTTAAACTTTTCCATACAGAATCTAATAATAATGCAAAACTTCAAGAGCTATGCTATAGGACTACTTCCAAAGAATCCTCTTTCACTTACCTTCATCCGCCACTTTTCAATAAAGATCTTACATTTCTTAATACTTTTAAGTTCGTAACTGTGCAATGGTAGATTTTTAAGTGGTAGAAAGAATTCTAATCCTGTTGAATATGGATCTACCTCTAAAATGAAGTAAATATAAACAACCTGAAGCATATCAGATAAAACTGGAACTGCCATTTAAGAGATTTCATTACCTTTCCCAGTACTAGCAGCTAAATGAGCTCGTGTGAAAGCTAACGGCTACACTACACACATGGGTTCTGCTTCTGCTGCTCCGCCAGAAGCCAGGTTTGCCAAAAACCATTTCCAGAACTGAAACATAAAAAATTGCTGTATACAGTTATGAAAATACAGTATTACAATACTGTAATACTGACCTTTGCTGTAGATACTAAATGATCCTTTAAAGCACGAAGGGCAAGATCTATCTAAAACATTGTATTATTTACAAAATAATAAAGAAACATGGCAGCCTCAGAATAAGACCTATACCGGGGTATTTCGAAATTTCCACTTGTAAAGATTCCCTGGCTATTCTTACATTTATTAAAAAATATTTATAGGCTGTTTTACTTGTCAACTTCTGAATTACACAGTGCTCATGATCTAGATAGCAGATAACATCTTTCTCATCTATAACCATGCAGTCCTCCATAACAGTTGGCCTGTGTATCTCCCTGATACAATTGTGCATCAACTCTCCATGATGGGGGAGTGGGGAAGCAGAAAAATCGATGTACTTGCATCGTGGCCCATACTGTTTACCAAATAAGAAGATAATCATAGTAGAAAAAACATTTTGCAGAACATTTTTAGGTGGTGATATTGGACATAGCTTTGTGGACTTAAACAGCATCACAGAACATCTTGTGTAGTAAATGCAGACCAGGTCGATGTATCCCAAATCACTTTTTATTTGCTGGTTCAGTAACAACAACACTGTAGCTGTAGTAATATGAAGTCCAGCATAGCTTAACCACCCTAATATTTTATTAGCAGTACAGAAAGCTTTGCAACCTGCCCTAGCTCATGTTGTGGCGTGAACTGTTGCTAGTTGTAGTAAGCAAGCAGGAGAGGGGGCAGCCACATATCTGAAGGTGCTTGACTGTGCCAGTATTACCTTCAGTACCAAGTGTCTGGCACATAGATGTAGCCTGTCGTCTCTAAGAGAAGTTCTCTTGCAGTTTACAATCTAAAGGTTTTAGTAATTACTATTTTTTTAAAAGATAATTGAGCTAAGCCAGAACTAATGCATGTAACCATATTGTCTTCCCCATTTCCTATCCTGCACAAAACATGGAGGAAAGCATCCAAAGACCCTGAGCTTCAACAATGGATATACTACTTTGCTAAATACAATACTTCTAAAGAAATTAATTTTGAGTGCTATTCATGGAATGTTTATGAAATTTCAGTGACAATCTTATACACATGTAAGCCATCTGGAAACACTTCTAGGGGACAGAAAGGAGATTTGAAGAACTATAAACATTGTGTTATTTACATCATGCATGTTTTACTTCTTCCACAGTAAGAAAAGAAAGGAAATGGCAACCTTAAACTCTTTACATACAAAATCACTGTAATTGAAAAAGGACTGCTTAAGAATTTGCATGCAATACTAGGAGATTAATCAAACTTTAATGACTGACAGCATTCCTCCTGGTCAGCACCACCAGAAAAGCCTGTGGCAAGAAAAGTTTCTGGCGCTGCAGTAAAAAACTGTCAACAAGAAGAAACACAGAACATTGGATTTTTGTTTAAATTATCAAAACCTAACCAAAGAAATACTAAAAGAGATAACCTAAGACAGGCACAAATAAAGCAGATTTCCCAGCTATTTTCACATTAAACAAATTAAATACAAATAACTTTTTTTCTATTCTGCTGATACAAATGAATTTTATGTAATCTGTCAAATGCCAACATCAACATTTCACATTCCAAGACCAAGATTTCTTGTAATTAAATCCATAGGTGTAGACCTCTGTCTTTCAAGAATCCATCCAAGTTAAGGTACTTTTCCTCAAGTATATGGAATTGCAAGGTAAGGCAGCATAGCCCAAAAGTTTAATGGCCTTTTTGAACCATAACCTAAAACTGTTTCTTTTCTGGTTCATTGTACAAAACTAAGTCCTTAAAATACTCTAACTATTCATAAGTATGTTTCTAGCTTTGCATGTAACAAGAAATCAGTTTTCAGTGTTAAGTATTACTTATCTATGGCAGTAATATACACTTTAGTATCTGTAAGTTTTTTCTGACACATACTAATGATTATCAAGAAAATAATGTGAAAAAATTAAAATGAGAGACTTCTGCTTGAGGGACACAACCTAAGAACTTCACACATTAGAATGAAAGCAGCTGTAATTTCACGTGAGTGAAATTCAGAACATAAAGGTTTTTGAGACTAGAGTACAGGTTAATGCAATCTTAATTGTAACAACATAGTAATTGTGGGTTTTAACAAATCCTGGGAACATAGGTGTCTGAGTCCAAGATTTTTAATATCCATCTTAATACTTGCATCAGTTAACTCCAAAATAATTACATGTCCTGAACAAAACCTTGAAAATTCTGACTGCAGTTATAAGCAGTTATTACATGCACCTCACAGAGTTATTAATCATCAAAGATCAAACCCCACATTTCATTACCTTCAACAGTAAGCTATGCAGTAAGATATGGTCACTGTTCCTATTTTTATAAAATATGCTCATTACAAAATCTTATCAATATACCACCACTAATTATCAACCACACTGAGAGAAAGAACTGCACAGCTCTTGACCAGATCCAGTTTTTTTATTAAACAGAACTAATATGCAAGAGATTATTTACCTGTTTATCCACTCTGGACATGAAAATCTGTTTGTGTTTGCCCTTGAAAGCAAATTTTAGAGCCAGTGTTGGGAAATACCAAATAACATCTGCCAAATTGCCATGCCAAAAGCTGAAAAATCCTACAGAAAAAGAAATAGACCTTTAAAATAACATTTCCAAAGTTTATAGTACACCAAATACATTCTATGATGTTCCTTCTGTTGTTTCTGCTCTGGTATGAGCTGTAACAAAGGCCAAAAATGTTCCTTTTCAGGCCCTTTATTTTCAGGCCTTTGGTACTGGAAAGATGGATTTATTCTGACACCAACAGATGTATGCATTTGGTGTTAGCACAAGAGAATCTAAAACTGCAAGTGAAGCATCAATAATGCTGAGAAATAGTAACATTTTCAACTTCCTTGTCTCAAACATTTCTAAGACTGGGGATACCTATGTAAACTGCAGTTTGGAAACTGCAGAATAGAAGAGTATTTCACAGAACTGCGTAGGAATTGTTTTCCTGAAGTAGCCTGCCTCTGCATTTTTGCTTCTATAGGGGGTGCTCACACTCTATATTAAAGCAACGATCAACCGTTTACACAGGTATCAGAAACTTGTTAGCTCTTTTGTAATTTCTTCTTTTAAATAAAAGAAAGGATCCTTTTGGACACAAAGATAAATGCATAAGAAGCTAAATGGAGCTGAGGAGGTAGTGCAGGAGCAGATCTTAAGTGGATTTTGAGAAAAAAAGTATGTGAAGATGTTCACAGATATTGGACTGGCTGTCCATGTTAGACTTTGCTAAGCAGCGACAAGGGGAATCTCTGAAATGTGTAGCCATGCTCTTTATTCACACTTCTTAATTTTCTTGTGTTACTGTGGATGAAGGCAAAGACTCCTTAAAGACAAAGAAAACTCAAAACTGGGTTTTTATTTCTTCTTTGATTATGCTTTTCTATACATTAATACGAGGATGCCATCTAAATGCTGCTTTTGTAAAATTATCACAAGGACAACGTTAGGGGTATTTTATCATGTCCACAAATACCAACTAGCATGACTTTGCTACCACTAAATAAATTAAAAAAATCCTGTGGGCAAATACCCAGAAGCAACCCCCTCCTCACCACCTCCTCCGCCTGTATCTGTACTCCTTTGAATGCCTGCAGCCCACAATGGATGCTCCATCACTGTTGCTTCAAAGGTGTTTCTAAAAGCTTTTGTTTTTGCAAGATTTGGGGGAGGCAAGGCAAGGCATGGGGACAGGGGAGGAGCCCAGGGTCCCCACCTTGCTCCCTGGGGATGAACAGGAAGCAGTCCACCATGGCCTTGTACTGCTGGTCTGTCTGGATCTGTTTGGACGAGGCCTGCACCTGCAGCAACGGCTTCACCTGCTCGACAGGCACCACCGCCATCTTGGAGATAGTGCCTGCCACACCAGCAGCCAGCACGTCCTTCCCAAAGGAAATGGTGTCGTAGAGGCTCTTGCCCTGTGGGGCTGCCATGGCGCATGGCACCACCCCAGCCGCCTCCCTTGCTCTTTCCTCCTCTTCTCCAAAAGCATGTGGCTGGCACACACCAAAATGGCTTCTTTATCCTCAAAAATTAAAAGTTCATGGTCTCAGGGTACCCAGGAGCTGAGCCATGAGGGGCAGCTGGGTATGGAAACCGTGCCATTTGCTTCTGCTCCATGGATCCATGCGAGGGAGGGCCAGCCTCCCTGCGCCGCAGGCAGCAAGCTTTTGAGAGACCTCAGGAGCTTTCCAGAAGCTCCTGTCAGCTGTGGGAACTGGCCCCTCTCCCACAGCCAGGAACAACGTAATAAAAAAACAGGTAACAAAGGGTGGTTGTTGATCATACTGAATTACAGGTTAATAAACGTTATATATGTCAAGTAAATTAATTTTAGTCATGTTATTTATACCCATTCCATTGTGGGTCAGAAGTACCAATTACTTCTAGATTGCTGATAGCATTTTATTTTTTCTTTACCTCCCCTACATCTCCTAACTTTATGACTAAGGAAGGCATGAAACACCATTATTTGTTCAGTCAAGTTGTTTTAATTGTTGATGTTTTTAAATGCTTTTGTTTCTTGCATTCTCTTGACATTATTTTTAACCCTGGTGCTCCATTGATTTGTTGTACATTACATTGCTTTGCTCAGTTTTTATAAGTAACAATTTAGAGGCAAAAGAAATTAATTTCTTTTGAGCCTTAATACAACCATTTTAACTCCTTCAGTAGCTTCTCCATATCTGTTCCTTTTAACATTTATTCTATACACTGATTCACAGATAAAATCTTCCTGAAAATTACAAAGCTACAAGATTTGTATCAGATACTTGATAAAAATCTGTATTCTGTGGGAAATTAAATCCTATGATCCTTTGGGACTGTTTTTAAACATACTCTTAAAAATCTGCAAAATACAGTCTCTGCTCAGTTGACTAACAATGTAACCCATACAACTCTCCTTAAGTGTAGTATCAACACAATTAATGCAAATTTTGCAACATTTTGTTGGTGAAGTACACGAGTATAATAGACTTCTTTGAGTATGAAAGTTGTATCATACCTGGATGCCCTTAATTCTGTTTAAGGTATAGTTTCTTGTGAAGGAGCAAGCCAGTCTAAACTGCTGATTGGTACTGAAGGAGTCCCACCTTCCTTCAGTTCTTTTCTCCACACACATCTACATACTTGCACTGTTTCTTCTACATTGACTCAGCTGTGTGTTTGGTCCAGCTGCGTCAACTGACTTTAGGTCATTACACTGGCAATAGAGTAACCCAGGACAGACTAAATGCAAGGATCTAGACAAAGGTTAGCTATCCTCTTTTTAAAGCATTCCAATGTTTTCTTTTTTTTTTTTTTAGCATTCAAACCATCTAGCCCAGGGCATTAAAATATTGAAATGAGACAAACAGCAGAATTATCCTTTTCCATACAGATACTGATGTGCACACATACAAAGGTTCTGCAAAAGCTGTTAAACCTGCTAAAGGCAGTGCAGCAAAGACTGCTTGCTTTTCTACATTCCTTCTTCCATCTACAGCAAAATCTAATATTCAAACCCCATATATTTTAGGCTTTTAAAAGGTACTGTTCAGATGTCATCCATACTATGACATACTTCTATTTTTCAAACAGTAAATCTCACATCAATTGATTTACAAATGGGGAACAAATTTAAAGCACTACTTCTGTAATTCAGTTTTGCATGTCTTAAACTGAAATACCATCTATTTCTCATCTTCTAGGAACCGTAAATTCTGGAGAAGGCTGATTAACAAAATCTTCAATTATATGCTTAAATTTCAGGCTTATGACTTCTACTGCTTGGAATTAAAGCAACTGTTGAGTGTTTCAAGAGAAGCTGTAAATCACTCTGTGAGAGCAGGCAGTTACAAGCGTTTGATTGACTATTTCCAAACTACTCCAAACACTGTAATTTACTAGTGAAAACACGATCTAAAGATTTGGTCATGAGAACCTATGGAACTGAATTTATTTTCCTGAATATTTAAACTTTTTGATCCCATTGTTTAAAATGTAACTTTAGTCATGCATTTTATGAAAAGCACTCATGAAAACAAGTAGAAACAGCAGAAAAAATGAAAAAATGCATTGTTGACACGAAACATGATGAAATGCTATGCAGATGACCACATCTAAATGTGCTGGCTAGGGCAAAAAGACCCCAAAAAAGCTTACATTTTAAACTACACTTTAGTAAAAAAAGCTTTAGGACCAGCTGGTCTGTAGATTACAAACATTTAAACAATTGTAGGAAAGCTGAATTTTGCAGGAAAATTATGATTTTGCAAACATCTTGCTTTTTACAGATGAATTTTTGGAATATCCAGATGTAATTTGTGTAAGATTTAGCTAAACAAATGTTGTTTAAATAAACAGAAGAGAAAATAAGTAAAAAAACCCCAACAGAATAACACTTTACTGGTCTTTGACAAATGTACATTTTTTATTATGAAATTCTGAATATAAAATAAGCTGAGTCCATGCATAGGTCATAAAATCATCATCCCCCTGCCCCCCGTGTCTTCTTTTGTGCCTTCAAAATTGCATTTTAACAAACATGAGTATTATTTATAGTTAAAACTCATGAAATCAAAGAAAACATCAACCACAATATAGTCCTTGAGTGTGCAGGAGACTATACTGGCAAAAATGATAAGCGATTAGTTTTGTGTCGCTAAGTGCCATGAATTGGCTAAAAGATTTCTTTCTGTTTTGATTAACACAATGTTACCGAAAACTCAGTATTTTTCATGCCTAGAGGCGAAAAATGTTAATTATTTGGAAAACTTTTTTTTTTTTCCCTCCATCACCAATTGCCAGATATTCAGAGAATACTTTGAGGTTATCAGCTTATCATTTTACATGGCATATTATACACTGAACAACAGTGAATGTAAAAATTATGTGATGTTTTCATATAATAAAGTTATAATCAGGATAAATAATTCAACAGTATATAAAAATAAGAACTTTGGTTCTCTGAAATCTTTTTAAGTATTCAATTGATGAGATCATAAGAATCATCACTCAAGTTTTACCTCTGTCATAACACAAGGTAACTACTGTTTTAAAGAACATTTCAAAGATAAGCCATGGGTGGGCACCACAACTGACTTAATTTCTCTTTGTACTGAAGTACTTTAAAGAGATGATGACACTCTGCAGGATGGCTGAACGCTCAGGAAGCTCATCTATGTAGCTAAGCCAAATGACAGTTTAAAGGCCAGTTCAACAGCAGCTTCTGTGACTGAGTCATGAAAACAGACATAACACTCCTGAGGTTTTGGATCTAGAATGAGTCTCCTGGAAAAAAATGAAAGAAAAAAAAAATTATCATCTGTGTCAGCTTTTTCTCAACTGTTTGATATATTTTGGTTGTACTCTGAGGTTTCAGTAAGATGTTAAAAAGAACTGGTGTGTAAGACAGCTAGCAAATGTCTGTGTGTCTCCAGTACTATCTTACTACTTTCAATACATTAGATTTTTAAATCAAGTTATTCTCTGTTCAGTTTTCTGAAGACTGTATGTAAAAACTCTTCAGGTTTTCAGGATCTATTTGTATAGGTGTGTTTGTAGTCATCCAACCTTCTATGCTACAAGCTGCAATCAAGGTACTTGGGAGCAAGCCCAGTATTCACATATTTACTAATTTCTAAACTTAATACATCTGGGTAGGTACATTTGCACATGCCAATCTAATAAGGTCTTTCAGGGAAAAAGCTGAAGTAAGAAAGCTGTTAATACCTGTGCATAACTGTGTGTAGCATTATATCATAGCATATAGCTCTGCAAACTGCCCCTGATTTAACGTTTGATAATGCAGAGTGAAAAATTATTTTTAAAAGGTATCAATAGCAGCATAAACATTTTTAAATGTTTAAATTAAAGATTTTAATTTTTCCAACCCCAAGGATACCACACAAACTGCACTTACGTACATTCATGGTGAGAAACAACTGTTTTTCTTTTTTCTCTTTAAACATCTGACTTGAAGGCAAACAGATTGAACAAAAGCTCTGATAGAGAATTTTTACACTATTATTCCTGGCCAGTATAGTTGCCTGTGGATTATGTTTCCTTTCACTATATCAGGGAAAACCTCTTAAGCCATATTCAGAAATTTATTTTGCTGTTTTCTGTTTTTCCTATTTGCGCAATAGTTCAATTAGTCAAAATTTGTAACTTAATGAATTAATCAAGCCTAACTACTTATCTTCCTTTCACCCCTTGTCTATACTGAGTTTCTTCTTCATACGGTGAAAGCATAGCTTCCACTTAACTGGGTATTTGCATTTTTCTTTCTATTTATCTAGTATGAATACCAAATATAGAAGATGAATGTAGAAAAGGAAACATCCTGTTGACTACTACTACTGTGACTGTCTGCTTACTGCAGCTTAAATGTCAACAGCACAAAATACAGTAGATGGAGAAAAGAATAACATATGAGAAGTAGCAGCTACAGATTAGGGCTTACTGGCTTGGATTTAACCAATCACAATATATGATACATTCTGAGTTTTGAAGTAATGATACATACTACTTGCTCATTACACCTAATTTTAATTGCTTCAAAAAGTGTATTTTAAAAATATTTAATGCCTAGGGCAGTGTGCTGTGCTGTCATGCAAATAAGGCTTAGCCATGTACCAATAACTGTATGTATCATTAAGAAAATAAGTTTAAATAACAACACAAATCATAATCAACTTATGATGATAGCGGCAGAATTTCGAAAGCAGACTGAGGAAACAAACCTCCCTTTCTGAAATATCTCGAACAGACTGGGAGGTTGATTCGATCTTCCTGATGAAAGAAACCCACCCAACCACGCGCTACAACTGTTCACCTTACTTCTTTGTATCAAGGAGTCAGCATTACGCATGGTGGCAAGACAGGTGGGGTTTACTTGCAAAGCAGGGAACGGAGCAGTCAGAAGGAGCACAAGGAGCACAAAGAAGGT